CCGCATGCCCCATACCCCCACAGACTTACCAGCCGGACACTGCTCTCCAAGGGCTGCACTCCTGGCCCCATGCATGCTGCAGATGTGCACATGCATGTGGCAGTTATCAGCAACATTATCAGCCACATCAGTCCAAAAAGCTGATAATGTCAATTTTCCTTTTATCGCTGCTGATACAATATGGACCAATGTATTGATGCATCTCTAGAATACATAGTTCATTAGAATCTACCTGACACTTCTAAACTCTTCATTCCACAGGGATTAACCATCCTCTCTTCTTTTTAATGAGCCTGATGTTTCACCCATCAGTCTAGCCTTTATTCTGCAGTTTATTAGCTGCTCCTAGTCATGAACCTCCTATTTCACAATGCTGCAGGCTGTTTTTAACTCATTCCAATGAAGTGATATTTGTTTTGGCCTAATACATCCCTAGGCCCCAGGCATCCTAGTAAGGCTTCTATTTTTTATGAACTGGCAAAAACTAGGTGTTGATTTTACATGAGCTGATGCACCTCACCCTGTGCACCCTCCTTTTCAGGATCCTATATCTATTGTCCAGGACTACAGATTCCTATTTGAAATTTCTAGGTTGAACCTTATGAAACATGTTTACAGGGCTAATGTTGTGCGGCAGCCTTGGCAGAATCACAAAGGCACCCCAATGTTTTACAGGGAATGAGGGAGATGAGAAATGAGCCATGAAGTGAAGTGACTCTTTCAGCGCTGCCTGACTAGAAAGAAAGGCTCTGTGGGCTTAAGCCCCACATCATAGAGAAGCAGGGCTGGAAGGGAACTTCAGGAGGTCATCTAGTCCAGCATTTCTTAACTCATGGGTTGTGACCCAAAAGTGGGTTGCAAGAATATATGAAAGGGTCGCAAGCAAACTTTAAAAATGGATTCTCCTTTAAAGGAGAAAAATGTGTGAAACCATGGGTTTTCCCTTGTAGGCTGACAGAGCTCCGCCTGTAAAGGGCTGCTTGGGGCCCCCTGCCCGACACACTGGGGGGCTAGGACCTGGGAGTGGGGGACAGCAGGTCAGGAGTGAGGGGCACTGGGCTGGGACTGGCCATCAACGTTTACAAATGGATCCTGGTTAGGGTGGCCATCATCGAGGACAGTCCGGTTTTCTGCTCCTCTGTCCTGTATTGATACAAACCCCGATGCCTTTATGTCCTCTATTTTCTCTTCAAGAGAAAAATAGAGGACAAAGGTGTCTGGTTTCATATCAATAGAGGACAGAGGACAACCGGACTGTCCTGGTACAAAAAAGGTTGAGAACCACTGATCTAGTGCAACCCTATGCTCAAAGCAGGACCATCTCCAACTAGATCATCCCAGCCATGGCTTAGTCTACCAGAGCCTTAAAAACCTCCAAGGATGGAGAATCCACAAACTCTCTGTGTAACCTGCTCCAGTGCTTCACCACCCTCCTAGCCAGAGAGCTTTTCCTAATATCTATCCCAAACTCTGACAGATAGCACACCACCAATTTGAAATGATACAACCTGAAGTACCAGCATTTTTTTTTCAGTTCAACGTTAAGTACCACCAGCAAATTTTTGTCAGATGAAGTCATTATAATAAATCTGGTAGCATGCACCACTGACAGGTTGCCTGCGGTGGGAGTAGGCATACCACAGATCGGGAACCGCTGCTCTGACCGAAAACCTCCCTTTGCTGCAACTTGCGCCCGTTGCTCTGGCATCTGCCCGCACTGAGACCAGTCCAGCTCCGTGCTCTTCGGGGCCCTCCTTCACGTGCCCGAAGGCTGCTAGGAAATCCCCCCTGCGCCTTCTCTTCTCCAGGCGACGTACGCCCGATTCAACCAGCCTTCCCAGTAGGGGTCCAGCGGGCCTGACTGGGCAGGCGGCGGCAAGGGAAGCTGCCGGGGCGAGTGAGGGCGGGCTACTCCGCAGGCAGGCAGGCAGGGAGGAGGCTGCGGTGCGGGAGGAGAGCGCCTCACCCCCCCACCCCCATTCCCCAGCGGGGGGAGGCTGTGCGGGGCGGCGGGGAAGCAGGGGGCGG